AAACTGAAATGAAAATTTAGGATTCTAGTAAAGCTATTCTCAACTACAGTTTGCAGATACTGTGGAGTGTGTGAAGTAGCAAAAATCATTGAACAAGCAAAGAAAATCATAAAAACATTAAATCATAAAAACATTCAAGAACTAAACTATGGTTCTCCAGCATCAAAACACAGTGACAATATTTTCTCCAACTGAAAATCTTTCATAAATCACCTTCTTTGTTGACTAAACCTTTCTCATTGTCACATGTCAAAACATACAAAAAAGTACTTGCTTGTAAATTTTCTCACATAATTTTTCAGATATGTGCACTATTACATTCAACACTGAAAACTCAAGCAATTCCTTCCAATAAAAGTTTAATAACTAAGTAGTGTCCATCCGTGACAAATAAATAAAAAATTGCCTTTTTAACACATGCAAAATTGAATCTCCTCATCACAGAAAAAATAAATAATAAATCTCACACTGAAGTCCATTGGATCATAATGTCGCCTCTCATGTGAAAATTGATGTTTGAAGAAAGTACAGCATACCTTAATATACTGCAGCAATGGAATGTGTGACTTTTGAGGAAAAGTTTCACTTCATATACTGTACAATCTCGTTACAACGAATATCGTCACAACAAACTGACAATTGCAACGATTTTATTTGTTTTTCGGTCCCTGTCTAATAGCCAAAATGTTTCTTTTAATTTCGTTTCAACAAATTTTTGCTCACAACGAAGCATCTTGAAATCCCCGATGCTTCGCTATAACGAGATTTCTACTGTATTTTACCACAATGGTTGTTTCTCTTCGTTTCAAATCTCCAAATTATAACAATTCACAAAATTATTCCCAGAATACAACACTGTACTCGTCGAGAATCATCGAACCAAGTTATTAAAACCGTAGCCAATTTACAAATTCACCTCCCTGACCTTCACAAAAATAATTATATCACAGAAAATACTGTATGCACCCACAAAAAAGGTCTCCCATTAACACTTCAAATCGTCGCACACCACAAAAAAAATTCGAAAAAAAAAAATCACAGGGAACTTGAGCAGATTCCAAACCGAAAAAAAATTAAAAATTAAAACTGCATTTGATATTTTAAAATTCGCCTCTTTCACGCCACACACACACAGACACAAAACCCCGCACAGCAAATCACTCCTCAAACAAACCCCTTCATTATTCACCACAGTGAATTCCCATGTACAGTATCGTACCCACTCTAGTTCTACTGTACCAGAGAAGCCAGACAAATTGATGACACAAGCACAGGAAGGGAAGTCCAGGAAGAAAAGAAAAAAAAAAAACCGTGCCACGAGTAACGCGGGACTCGCGCCCCGAAATGGGTCATCTTCCCGACCCACAGCACTGGAACTGCACGAGTCAGAGAGATAGAGAGAAAGGGAAAAACCAGGTCAGAGCCAGGGTTGCCCTCGACCACGAAAATTCCCTCCTTCATCAAGGGCCACTCGCAAAGCATATAAAGAAAAAAAA